ACAACCGGGGAACAGAGGACGGAGCACAACTTGTGCCGGTTGTAGGAACCGTATTTGTGTCGTAGACTAGAAACGTCGGACGTTCTCCCGCCGGCCCCATTTCTGTGTACAGGACATAAAGATTTCACTTCTGTTCATTCTATTCTAAGAATATGGTCAGAGTGGGGGGAGGAGCTATTGGAAACGTTTTAGGAGGGGGGTGGGGGGGTTCTTTCGCCCACCTCACAGATGTACAGGTACCTCCATCACACGGCCGCGGCTCTGCTGTTTGTTTACATCCCGGTGGTGGCTGCGCCTGCATATTACAGCCCCATAGACTTCTATGGGACCCGTGTTCAGCCCTGGGGGCACCAATCCTGAGGCTGTGCGGACCTGGATGTGACCATACAGCAAAGCTGCGGCTGTATGGAGGAGAGCGTGCGTCTGCGGAGGGGCAATAGAGGAGAAATAAACTTTGTTTTAAAATGCATTTGTCCTTTAAGGCAACCTCAGTACTCCAGCTGTGGTGGAACTACAAATCCCATTATGCTTCTGTGTGCCGTGGCTGTCAGTCTTGCAATGCCTCATGGGACCTGTAGTCCCACAACAGGTGGAGTGCTGAGGTTTGCCTATGCATGGTTTAAGCAGGGGTAGCCAAACTGCAGCCCTCCAGCTGTGGTGAAACTACAAATCCCATGAAGCATCTCTCTCCGGGAGTCATATCTGAGAATCTTGCAAAGCCTCATGGGATTTGTAGTTCCACCACAGCTGGAGGGCCGCAGTTTGGCCACCCCCGGTTTAAAGGGACTCAGTCATGTTTTAAGAAACACACCACTTACAGAAGACCATCTCCTCTCCTACCACCGTTCCCTCCGTACAAGAGCTCCTCCTACCTAAAGAATCTTCAGATCGGACACTTGCAGGGGTGTTTTTTTGCCCCCCCCCCCCTCCTCCTGTGTGCTGTGGTTTCTTCCACCGCCTCCTATGTCTCTGTGTTCTGTAGGGGCTGGTGGATGGAACCACAGCACATGGCGGGGGGGTGGGGGACCAGGCACTAAACCCTTCCAGTACTGTGATCCAGTTCCAGTTCTTGGATGTGGAGAGGTCACATGGATCGGAGGAGCGGGTGATGGGATCGGTTCGTTTTGGAGGCCTTTTCATGGCGATGTAAAGCTGAACTCCAGGCAGATATAGCGAGACACACGAATGGCAAGCCGTGTAAGTACCTCAGTGTGACCCGCTGTCGGCTTCTTGCAGTCCCCCTGTACAGCAGAGCTCAGACTCGGGAGTAGCACAAAGTACGCGCTGATAGGAGGAGAGAGCAGACTACTGTGCTGCTTCTCTTTACACAGGCTGTAGTTCCAGCAGAGACAAATGAAGCCTCCTGCCCTGGCAGACGGGACTGAGCTGAGTGGCAGAGCGGTGTCAGGACTGGATGGCTAGCGATACGAAGCCTTGGGCCGGTACATGTATGATACGGGGGTGTTTGGTTGCCGGGAGTTTATTCTTTGGACATAGTGCCGGACGCGGAGGATCCGAAGAGCCGGTTTTAGCACAGCGGTCCCTGTGCAGACTTTTTTTATTGTTATTACAGGTCCTCTTTATGTGCGGAGAGCTTGTCTGTACAGTGTGTGCAGCTCTCGCGTGTCTGCAGGGCAGCGGCACCCCCCCGCCCGGGGAAGGTATTGGTGGCTTCCTGCCGTCTGTCTGCAGAGGAGAAGAGCTAACAATCTATTTTCAGATACAAAAGATAAGAAATGTAAAAAAAAAAATTAAATAAAATGTGACGTCACCGACGGAGCGCGAGAATGTTTCCTTCATCCGAACCGGTCCTGTGCCCCTGCATACCACGGCTTCTGTACTGCGCCCCGCTATAGGATAGTGTCATTCTGAGTCTGTACTGCGCCCCGCTATGGGATGGTGTCATTCTGAGTCTGTACTGCGCCCCGCTATAGGATGGTGTCATTCTGAGTCTGTACTGCGCCCCGCTATAGGATGGTGTCATTCTGAGTCTGTACTGCGCCCCGCTATAGGATGGTGTCATTCTGAGTCTGTACTGCGCCCCGCTATAGGATGGTGTCATTCTGAGTCTGTACTGCGCCCCGCTATAGGATGGTGTCATTCTGAGTCTGTACTGCGCCCCGCTATAGGACAGCACCATACTAAACGCCATTTCCACAAATTAGGGTTTTCCAAGCTGATTATTACATTTTTTATTTTTAATTAAAAGTAAAACCAGATTTACATCCGTGACGCAGAGCGAGAGCGAGAGCGCCACCGCCACCAGGCATACGCAGAGCGAGAGCGCCGCCGCCACCAGGCATACGCAGAGCGAGAGCGCCGCCGCCACCAGGCATACGCAGAGCGAGAGCGCCGTCACCAGGCATACGCAGACGTCATCCAATCAAGATATGGAGAGTTTGTTCATTCTGGTCAAAGTGACGGGTTCTCTTTACTGGTCCCCCTCCCATCCCCTCTGCTCCGTGCTTCTGTCATGGTCCCCGAGGACTCAGATGGGGGGGGGGAGGCACGCGGAGGCATGGTTTCCTACTAAGGCGCAGCCAATCAACAGGCCAGAATGCTGTCATGTGGGGGGCGGGGCGTAGGTAGCTCAAACACATGATTGGAGTGCTGGGGAAGGACCATGAAGGTATAAGTGGGCGGAGCCTGACCTGACAAGAGAACCGGTCACTTTGCTTGTAAAGTCGCATCTAATATAAGAACACAAAATAATCTCTACAGCTTCAGGAACCGGCACAACAACGAAGGCGACCAATCAGGTTCTCTATTACTTTGAGAAAATGAAAGAGGGCGTCTGATTGGGCAGCAAATCATCTTTATACCCAACTTCTTATTCTTGGGGTTTTTTTTCTTTTAACTGCAAGCT